CCAACGATAAGAATAGAGTAAATGTCAAAGAATTGTTCAGTGATTGCAAATCAGTTTTGGAATAGGGAATGAGGTAGTTTAGTACTTTTTTAAAGGCGATAAAATGTAGTTTTTTCAAGAGGGAAACACTGATATAGCTAAGGGAGCCAAGATGGCGGATTAGAGCGAGAACGCTGTCAATATCCAACACCTTGTATTATTCCACCATGCCAATAACCATTTCATAATTTCGAAAATGATTCCATTTATATTTGTTCTTGCATTTTCCACACCACTTGTGAGGTATGCTTTTACGCGCGTTACCGATTTTTTTTTAATGTGCTCGGTTGCCCAGGAGGCCTATTTTCACCTTTACAACTTAACTTAAACAGAATTAAAACTAAAGCATGCAATATATAAAGAAAATTAAAAGTTGTCTTACATCTAGTAAACTTAAAAAATTGCACATTAAATTCATTTTTCATTATAAAATAGAATTAAATATCACAATTCAGTTTACAAAATGTGGTCTGTTTGCACCCACAGTAAGTTCCCATGAAGCCTAGCCTAAATTCAGAATTGAAAAAAAACGAGCAAATGGGGTCGGAAACTACCCTACAAGAATTGTGTGATGGAAACTAACACATTCTCATTTATCTTACTAACACATTTGCAAATTTTGCGTTGGTTAAAAAGAGACCAATATATAAGGCCATAAGTTGGAGGAAGACGGAAGATCATATGTACACAAATGTTTACATCAGATTTTTCACACTGCCCTTTAGAATGTGATAGAAACTTGTAGGTAGCCAGTGACAGAAATCTCTATCAGCCTTGCCAGTCAAATGATTTGTCAAATGATGGTCACTGTTCTTGCAGGGTACTAGCCCTAAAAGCATAATGTGGAAAATGTTTGAAGAGCTGCGAAATTGGGTTGCAATAATAAAAATAACAGTGCATAAATTGGAAAAAATGGTTTTTGTTTTGCTTTATAATTTTTGGGAATATTGGTTCAGATGGAATTTTTTTATTTGTTTGGTTTTTCAGCTCGTTAATGATGCACCCAGGGTTGCGTTTACTGTCTATGAAAATATTTCGTGAAGCGTTCCAAAATTAGCTCCGAGCAACTAAAAGTTGGTTAAGCTTAAATGAAATAGTTTTTTATTAAATATTTATTCCTGGTATTTAGTAAAAAACATCAATACTAATGTATGAAAAACAAAATATCAATGCTAATGTATGAAATGAAGTAAATAAAAATCTACGAATACATTCCATGAATATTTTGTCATAGAGCCATTATTAAATTTAGACATAACTTTGTCAGGCGTTGGCGTAGACGTATATAGAATTAATGCGTTGGAGAGAGATAAATATACAAGTTCAACGCGCTAATTTAGGTATCCTTGTATGTATATAACTGTTACTCGTCTGGCATATACTCCAACTGCGAAAATAATGACAATTATAATTTATGTAGATCCCTGGATAAAAGATTGTCACAAGTTACTTTCGGTAACTCACGATTGAAGTTTGGAATGCAATTTCTCAGAAACACGACTACAGATTTTCTCCAAAGTGTCGGAGAATGCTATGTACTAGTTCATGAAATTCTTAAATTATCTTATTTTTTTAGTTTAGTGTCAACCATTTATGAGTTTAATACACTTTTGACGTATACGACATTTGTCAAAAAATTTGCAGTCAGTTTTAGTGATATACGCCAAGATGTGATAACAATTTTTATAAATTAACCATACTTTTTACTAATCAGCCTAATCGTGAGTTTCGCCCGAACAAAATTTCGCCAACAATTTTTTCATCCACCTGTAGTGAACACACGCAAACGAAAAGTGACCCGGTTCTAGAAAATGAAACTCATGATAAAGCTGAATATGTCGCAAACTAAAGAAGAACAGATAACTCTATTTGAAAGATCTTGATTAGTTTAGTACGACAGCAATGCTAACGCAATTTGTACCAAATAACCGAAAAATTTTTAGTCAATTAGTCGGAAACTAAAGAAGATATCCAAAAACCACAAATTGTCAAAATGACGCTTCCGGTAATTTTCCATCCAGGCGACGATATTTGAATAGGTTTGTATGGTTACCAACCCAACAAGCAAAATAAACTTAAAGAAAGTTTTTTTTAAGTTTTCAATTATAAACATTAAGCTTACAAAACGTTGATTTTTTGTTTATAAAACGCTTGAAAGTAAGCATAATATAATCGAAAAGGAACATTGGTTATAAGCGTAGAAATATAAACTTGTAATAAATGTTCAAAAGAAAGCTTTTTATAAGCGTAAAAGTGTAAACTTATAATAAAGGTTCAAAAAAAGTTTTTTATAAGCGTATGAATATAAACTTACTAAAAATTTTCAAAAGAAAGCTTTTTATAAACATTTTTATAACCCTTTATTTAAAGATATTTCATTAAAAACTCATACATAGATTGCTTAACATCTAGAAACTAAACGAAATGCGAATTTTCCGCGGACTCATCTACAGTCGCGAAAATATAAATAGGGAATAGACATTTTAGCATACAAATTCACAATAACACATACAAATTAAGCATAAAAAAGTTAATTATTACATCTTGTTGCGTGTTTTCAATTACTTGCGGTTATTGGCAAATTGGAAAAGCGACATCGATGCAGCTATATATTCCGCTTCATCGCCGCCATTCTCATTGATGAACTTTTCTGAAAAAAATTTAATACATTTTTAATTGTATGTTAAACTAAGAAAGGATAAGGGGAACTCATCATTTTAAGACTCGAATGCTCCACCGATTAGCGCAGCGGGTCCTGGATTGGACTTTTTTTTACCACATCGGTTTTATTTAATTTTTTCTTTTAATAACATATTTTAAAAACCGTAAACACGTCACTTACGATTGAAAAAATTTTATATTTACTACTTCATGTCGTTGGCATTTACATTTCATTTATAAGTTTAAGTTATTTATAAACATTCGCTCTCAAAACTTATTAAAGGTTTATTTGAAAAAACTTTTAATAAGCTTAATATTAAAAATGCTTATTTAACGCTTATTATAGCAAACTTAATTTAAGTTATTTTTAAAAACGTTTACTGAAATGCTTGTTGGGAATAGTCAGTACTAATTTGTACTGGAACCTGCAAACTTTTACTGGAAAAGTGTATGATAACCCAAAAAATTCGCAAGAGAGCACTGAATCGAGAGCGTAACAACACGAGAGAGCTGCAAATTCTTGCTAGTGAAATTTTTACTAGCAGAAATTAG